CGCCAAACCTTCATCTCTATTTAATACTACATGGTCTTTTTTGTGTTTTATTATTTCTAATGATTCACAAATATTATTACCTATTACACTTTTAGGTTGAGCTAATATTACAGTTTTCCCCATAATATTGTGTGTTGTGTTTCCTGTATAGCCAGTAATACAATGACACATTTTGATGTTTTTTGTACAGTTGGTTCATGACACACATTCATCTTGTCAACCTTTCATTCTTCTTGCAATCATTACACAGTTACTTAATGCACAGTGTTCTGAGGCTTGTCAACATGATTCTGAAGGCATACTGTATGATATTTGTACAAAACTCCATTCTAAGCATGTATCTAGTAAAGAGTATTCTGCCAATTTTAATTCACTCATTTTATGCATACTGCTATTAGTGCAGGGTTAATACAAGAGTTTTTGGCATCTGTTATGTGGTTTTCAGACATTTCCCCGTAAGTAAAATTACCCCCCAAGAGGCCAACATCCATTTCTGTACATCTGCATTATGCAGCAGATGACACCTCTGATGACTCAGACTAAGTACATTGTATTTTTGATGAGCATGATAAAAAATTTTAAATGTTATTTCTGTCGAGATAAATACAGTGTTACGATAATATTTATTGTATTTATGTTCTGTTAAATCTATTGAACAAATTCAGTTAAAATTGTAGACATTTGTAAGCACATTACCTGTCATATACTACTTAGTTTTTAATTTATTTATGTTTGACTGTTTTATTCGAGTATGGGAAATTTAATATAAGAGATTGTGTAAATTGTATGTAATTTTGTTTTAGTGTATTAACTGGTTATACACATGTTAAAACTATAATATAGAGGGTCAATGCTGAACATATTAGGTTCAAAATATAGCACTAAGCAATGGAATTTTCATCTAGTAAAAAGTCAGATTTAGTTTCCAACACATTTTTTTTTTTGTAATGTGAAGTTAAAAATATGATACTATTATATCTTTATAACTGTATTCTTTAAACATCAAAATTATTTTTGACTGTTAAGTTTCTTATATATCTCAAAAATCATAAATGCAAGTTTCATTTTTTGTCTGTAGGTTGTAATTTTCAGAAACAAGTGAATATTACTATTTATATATTCACATAACTTTATATATATTGAAAAGTTAATGATGTTACTTTTAAAATGAGATGTAATGCAGGCTTCTAAAGTGCCAGAGTTGAGGAGAAAAAAAATATTTTTTACAATTTGTTTATTATGTTATATTATTCATCTTTTTAATTACATCCAGTTTTAAGTTGAACATTTGTAAATGGTTGTTAAATATTACAAGTTTCTTTGTCTTTTCCTGTGACTTAGAGAACTATTCTCTCCTTGTAATTTTGGTTTGATTTCATTGACTCATTTATATGTAGCTGATTGTGGAGATTACAATGTAGAGGAATATCCTGACCACACATATCTATCTTCCTTCAAGTTTGTACCATATCAAAATGATGAACTGGAAAGAAAGATCATGGAGAACCACAAGAAACATGTGTATGCTAATATGTTAAGCTTTTTCTGTTGCTTAAACCTGTGTGATTTCCTTTTTACATGGAAAAATAACTTTGTATACACCATGTTAATATAACTCTTTAAAATTAACCATAAATTTTTTTCCTAATTTTTTTCTATTTTATCATAAATCCATCTCCTCATAATATGACAAACATTTTGAATTTATTTTTATACCTTGTCAGGAATTTGGTGCTCTGTTGTATAATGTAATGTATTCACTCATATCTCTATGATCTTAAACAGTATCCATTTATATTCTGTACCTTGTCTTTCATCTATGCAATTAAACTCTTTGTAAAGTCTGACTGAAATGTAATATAATGTGTCCATCCAGATATGAACTTGTTAATATCAATTATACATCTTTCACTCATATTTTGGCTACACAAGCTAACTTCTTGCTTGACTATACTTTCTACTTTACTGCAGATGTTTGGTAAAGTTTCATCTTCTTCTTATTACTGTAGTATTTATCTTGTGATTTTCTCTCAGATTGATAATAGTTGAAATTTAATAACAGAGGACAATCACCAAGTGAAGCTGACATGAACTTGCTGGAGACTGCTCGTCGTTGTGAACACTATGGAATCAGACTGACTCCTGCAAAGGTGGTATCAGTTTAGTACAAATTAAAAATGTGTATCTGTATTTACTTTTAATTTTGGTAATTCTTGAATCAGGAGTAAATTTGTTTAAGTAATTGTCAGATCACTTTAAGAATGCAGAAATTTGTAAAAGAAACATATGTGCAATGTTTATAAAGTGTTTATGTTAAACGCATTTAGAAAAGGTGTTTCTAAGGAGTTAATATTGATAATTTCTTAACTCCCAATATACTCTTCAGTTAAAACCCACAACCTTTTAATTTTAAATTGAAATGACTTTTAATAGAAAGGTACCTAATAATATTTAGTATTATTAACAGTAATACTGATGTGAAAACTGAATTGAGTATTTTGCCTTTTCATAAACAAGTTATTATATAATGCTAAAGACTGATCAAAGTTAAAAGAATTAAGTCAAAATTTTCATTTTATGTATTTCTAATTTAACCCTAATATTTTATTGGGAACTGTAAAGTGACCATAAATGCATATTTTGATCCATAAACGAAAATGAAAACTTATTTTACACAGATTAGCTGTTATAGTGGAAGAATGTGATGATCTTAAAGTTAGTTTTTCTGAAAACTCGAGACTTGTAAAACCTCTTTGTAGATACATAATAAAAATAGTATTGCATGTACTGGAAGATTTGCTCACTTTTTTGTCCTCCTACAGTGTATGTGATCATGAAAACAGCTTCAGAAGTATGTCTATTATAATTTATAATTATCCTGGAAAGGCCTCTGTGCATCTATGAAACTTGTGAAAATAGACTAGAACAAAAGTGTTTGTTTGTAGGATTAATAATAGAAATGAATCTACGTGTGAATTTTTTTAGGACCTTGATGGTGTACCTCTTAACCTTGCTGTTGCTCATGCGGGGATCCTAGTGTATCAACGTTCAACAAAAATCACCACTTTCTCTTGGGCAAAAATACGGAAACTAAGTTTTAAAAGAAGAAAACTGATGATCAAATTACACCCAGAAGAATCCGTAATATTTTTGTTTTTTATTTTATTTTTTAAAAGCAGCTACCAACACTTTAATTTTCAATAGAGGTTACTGAGATATGTAAAAATATAAAATGAAACCTTTTGTACACTAAGCTCCTGAGCAAACATTACAATACAACACCAATCAGAGGGTAAAACAGAGATGAGCAGTATAAAATCAGACAAAAATAGAGATAAGGAAGATAAAATCTGACAGAAACATAACTAATGTGTATTTCATGTTCCTTAGTACTATATTCCATAAAATAATTAGGAAAGAAATATTAATAGAAGTATAATGTGCTTGTATATTTACAATGAGAAATAATAGTTTGTAGAAAACTTGAAAGAACTCCCACTGACTAGATATTTGAATTTATATGATCCAGTGTATTGCATAAATCACAAGCTTTCATTCATAATTTTAGGTGTATGAACTAGTAAATAGTTCTTATTATTACATTTCAAACAAAATGTATCACGTAATGACTATGAACATCATTCATTTTAATTTGAAGTGACATGACACCTTTTGTGTATAGTTTATTTCATGAGATAATGTACAAGATTAAAGATTACCAACTTATGTGATAAAGTGACAGTGCTGAAGATCTTTAAGCCATAACATAATACAGTAAATCAGTATGTTCCATTAATGGTTATAAAAATTGGACAGAATGCTGCTGTTTATTGCAAGCTTCCTTGGTTTTTGGAAGTTTTTACCCTTTGATAAATTTTTGTTTGAGATTTTATTCAGATTTGATGTGAATGGTTGTTTTTTATATGTTTTTTTATTTTATGTTTCATCATTTTGCAGGGAATCTACAAAGATGCAGTGGAGTTTTTCTTTGAGGGAAGAAACAGCTGCAAGAATTTCTGGAAGAAGGGTGTAGAAAATCATGGGTTCTTTCGCTGCTCAGAAGTCCGCAAGTTACCTCGGCAGAGATCCCGTATCTTAAGTAGAGGATCGTCTTTTAGGTATACACTTAACTCAGTTCTGTATCATATGTTAATTATATTTACTGATAAATAATAAATAACTAATGAGGATATGTGCACACTTATACAAACAGAGTAATCTACATTTTTGGGGAGATCATTAAGCTTTTTTATGCTACTTTTAGTTCTTAACTGGCAGCATTTATACATATACATACATATATATCTCTCTCGGTGATCATGTATATGGTTAGTAATACAGTATGATGTTTGGAGGTGGCGTGAGAAGTTGTTTGTGACTATTAAGTCCTGACCTAGTATTTTCAACATGAAATAAACTTAAAATATTCAATTAACAAAATATAACAGATTAAAAGTCATTTTCTGATTTGAATTATAATTTAAGTTAAATCACATAAAGCTATCCATCTTTATATAATAAATATTTTTTGCCTTGTCTCTGGAACAGTAAGCTATCAAGAGAATTCACTTTCTTATGGTTACATGAAGCAGGCTTAAAAGATAGTCATATTACTAAGTTTAAAATACATTTTAGTAGAGATACCTCATATGTTTATTTTCAGTTGCAAAAAGTATTGTAAATAAACAGATTGTTAATTGGAAAGCCCAAAAACAAACATAAAAGTAGATCCTTGAATATTACTTTGGTATAGAACATTTCTTCTAAATGATTCATCTGTTTTCCCAAATTAATTGGTTTATTAAATTTTTTCCATATTATTTAAGATTCATGACATAAGTGGCTATTTTTTTTTAAAGTCTGGTAGGCACTGATAATCTGGATTTTATTTAAAATTGTGAAACATTTCAATGCTTGTAATATATCCATAGGTATAGTGGCCGAACCCAGAAACAGATTACTGAATTTGTACAGGAAAATTTTGTTAAACGTCGTCCTTTTCAGAGGTAGGAAATCCATTTTTGTGTTTCTCCCTTTAATTTTTTTAACTTTGTAATTAAAAGTTTTGTTTTACTTGAAATTGTTAGGGTCAGACAGTAACTTTTGTTGTGTAATGAACTAATAGTTCATTCCAAAGAAATATCCATTTTGGTAGATATTGGGTAGAAGTTGAAATGATAAACTTTTGGCAATTTATGTATTATGTATTTCCTAATATTATTTTAATACAGTAGGTATCAGAAAATCTTTTAATATGAAGTAACACAAATAATAAACAAATGATAGGTAAAATTAGAAAGTATAAAGAAAATAGTTAAATATGCATTTTCAGCTACACAGCCCTAATTAAAACTTATTAATGTATAAAAATCCATTTTCCCACTTTAGCATAATTTGTTCCACTTCTTCTGCTTTGTTATCTTTTGCTGTTATATATTGTATTTTGTATTTATTCCATTTTTTTTTAAAGAAAGTGTATTGTACTTGTTTACTTTACTAAAATAATCTCAGATCATCAAAAATATAGATTAAAAGAATATTTTGAGAAAAATGTGCATAACCTTATTGGACACAGGGAGGGTCATAGTGCACATGTCAGATGATTTGTCATTTTTGATGAGACCATTTGGCTCAAAGTGTCTTTTGTACTAGAGGTGTTTGGTGGGTATCATGTGTATCATAGGTTTAACCTCACAGTTGTTGAAATACCCTGTGCAGCTATCAGATTCCTTCAGAACTCATCGTATCTATCATCTTGCATGATTAGTCTAGGCAGGTCACTTAATTAATTCAAGTACTTTAAATACACAGCACTACATTTACATTTTATGAAGTTTGTGCATTCAAATACAAAATACCACAACCAAAAAAAAAGTTTTGTATATGCACCACTTTTCTCCCTAGTAAGTAATATAAATGGGAAATTTTGTAGAGTCTGGTTCACACCCCCAATGAAAGAATAGACCATTCTAAGCTTTTACTTGTTGTTGAACAAATGTTTAAACAACTTTATTCAATTATGTACTAGCTGCCCAGTGTCGGCTAACAACATGAAGAATTAAATTGTGGCAGAATGCTACAAGTTCTTCAAATACCTATAGAATAATAGGTTTATTTTTTGTGAGTGTAAAACACTTAAATACACCATTTCAATTTTCGATACTTCACTACTGTAAAGGCTTGGTTTGGTCCGATATTTCATTGGTGGTAGTGTCCGGGGTCACTGATGAGGAGTGGAATTCTCTGAAACTAATCTGACTCACAGACACACACCCCAGTGAAAGAATAGACCATTCCAAGCTTTTACTTGTTGTTAAACGAATGTTTAAACAACTCTATTCAATTAAGTTTGAAGTACCTTATTTAATCCTGTTAGTGTTTTTCTTGTGAAAGCTAGTACAGTTTTTATGAGCAAATATTAAAGAGTTGGCCACCAAAAAGAAGGAAATATGATAATCTTTTTGAAATTTATTCATTCCAATAGTTATTCACTTTGTCATTTGTGCATTGACATTTACTGACATGATCTTTTAATCTCATATGCTTATGTTCTGGCAGATCCTCTAGCCTCCGGACGCCAAGCACATCTCATGGAAGTGTTGGGAGTTCTGTTTCTGAACAGCCACTCCTTTCTGTTTCCAGCAACCAATCCTATGGCTCTGTGGTTCTGGATGATAGCGGTCCAGTCTTCACTGCATCAGAATCGAAACCTACTTCTGATTCTCGGCCAAGTTTATCAAGAATAACCCAGAAGCCTAACCAAATGGCCATCAATGGAACATTGCATAGTAAAGAAGAGGAGAAGCCATTTAGGCAGATGGGTTTCTCTTCAAGTTTGAGGTCCTCAGACTTGGAGTATGACAAGGTGGACTTGTACAGTCCTGATGCTTTTGGCCATGATGCTGATGATAACCTATCACACGATTCCTATCACTTAGATGAATATGTTATGAATAAAGACATGAGTGTGGAACACATGTATAAAGATAATGACGTGTTCAATTCAGAGGAAAATAAAGTTAAAAGTAATATTGAGTATAGTTCAGATAACAAGGTGGGAGGGAAAGCAGCAGTACCACAAAATAATGGAGAGAATGAAATAGGGAATATATTCCCAGGTAATGATGAAAATGTTTATAGAGGAAAAGATAGTAACAGGAGAAATAATAATAATATTGAGATACCTTACTTACAACACAGGCAACACTTACCTGCAGAGAATACACAACATAAAGTTAAAGAACCTCAACAATCACACTTGAAAGTTAAAAAAGAACATGCTAACATACAGTATGAGAGTCCTAAGCTCTATACACATGCTCATAAATCAAGCTCTTCCAGCAGTAATGATAGTGATGACTCTCCTAGGTCTGTTGATGTTGTGTGTATTAACCAGCTTCCAGCTGTAGGAAATTTTTCATCTCAAGATGATTCAGTTGATGGGGAACTATTTGGACATATGCTGAAAAACGTGAAAAATAAACCTAACTCAAGTGACTCTATAGAGGCAAACAGAGAGGAAATAGATGTGCATTTAAAGACCAAGAATGAAAACATCAGTACAGTAAATGAGACACCTTATCATGAAAATATCAAGAAGACTGTTTTAATTGATAGTGATCTTATGTCATATCACCTAGATAGGAACTCCTGGAAAGAACCAGATTTATCTGTAGAGAGCTTAAAAAACAATGCTTCAGAAATTGAAGTACTCACAGCAAATGTTAAGAGTTCTACATCCCCAGTTGGAACTTTTGATGCAAAGTTTTATAAGAACCAATTGAATCCTACTGAAGATTTCTTGAAAGATGAAGCTTATAAATCATCAAAGACTGAGAAAGATACTTTTTCATTTGAGCTTGAACACAGCACAGAAAGTACAGAAATGCCTGCAAAAAGTCTCTCTGATCAGGAAGATATGTTATCTGATGCTCCAACTCAGAGCATTGAAAGTATGTCAACAATCATAGAAGTTATACAGCCAGAATTTGATAAGAATGCTAGAATATTGGAGGAGGCAGAAACTGGTTCATATAGAAAAGATGATAATGAACTTTGCATAAAAGATGACTATAACGAAGCAGATACATCAAGTCAAGATGATGAAAGTACAAGTGATACCTCTTCTACAGGAGAAGCAGTACAGTCAATACATAGTAGTTGCTCTGAAAAATTACATCAGTTAAGTGACTCTCGTTTTCAAGAAATTAATCTTTTCTTTTCTCAAGAGGACCTTAATTTTGAAGATGGAGACAGTAAATCTGAAGACCATTATGTTGAATCTGTTTCTTTGGAAATAACTCAGCATCCAAAGGAATTGGTGCAACCACATACTTTCTACACACATGATAACTACAAGTTTTCTTGCACAAGTAGTGCAGAAAGTAGTTCAGTTGAAACAGATATCCCTGTTGAAAACACAAGTCTCCATGAAGGTATGGACATTTTAGAGGATATTGCAGGAAGAACAGAAATAATTTCGGATGAGATAGCACAAAATGCTGATGATCTTTACTCCTGTAGCTCTCCCCATTCAGAAAAAAGTGCACATACTACACCCAGACATCGCACATGCTTACAATTAGAAGTATCCAATGGAAGAATTAGTGAGTTTTCAGCTTGTTCTGAAGGAAGAGTCAGTCAAGGGTCAAGTTGAATGAGGAATCAAGTTGTGTGATACTATAGTATTTTGGAAAACAAAAATGATACAAAAGTATTGCACAATTTAACAGCAATGCTAAGAGATTTTGATAAGTTTTTTATGATCACAAGGTATGATGAATAGTAATATATTATAGGCATTTTTTGTTTTGTGTACTGTGTTCTTCTTCCTTTGAAAAAATTCCTTCTTATTAAAGTACAAAGGTGTTTATTTCTGTTAAATTTGGATGGTCTGGATCACAGAATAGTTCTCTTGTACTTAAGAAAAGATGCTTTTTACAGATTATAATATGTAGAAATTCATTTATAATGCATACAAACTTGTAATCATTGTATCAGATAAACTTGATCAGACATCACACAAAAATTAAAGACTTGTTTGAAATTGCATAATTACTCACTTTATTGAAGTAGTAATACAGCTTCGTTTAATGATTCATAGGTTATTGTACTTGATTTTACACATTTACTTTGATTATTCTTTTTAGCACTAATATCATAAAACTTTGAACACCAAAAATGTGATTGTGAATTAGCAAGACAACATTTTAGTATTTTTGTTATTTGTTTTTTTTGTATGTGACAAATACTAAAGTGTCCACTTGTTAGATTATGACACAATAAGTATGTTAGTTAATGTAAGAATTTAGTATATTAAAATTATCAGTTGAGGTTCCTTTTCAGTTAAGTATTTTAGTATCAAACTAGGTTGATAATATTGAATTTAGTTAGTATAAAATTTTATTCGATTTATTAAGTTTCTTTGTTTTTTATAGATTGCTTTGTTCATTATATGTAATTTTGAGAGCACACATATATATATATTTTTTTTTCTTGTAGTCATAGATAGAATATATATATATATTCTTTTATTTTGTGGTCATAGACAGTACATTTTTTTCAAACAGAAACAATAACTAATTTATCTAAAAATTTGGTTAGTATTGTGAAGACTACAATGAATAATTTGCACATATAATAATAGTTAATTGTTATATTGTTCCTAGTATTTGGCCTACAAAAGAGCAAACCTGGTTCACTGTTCCAAAGAAATATTTGTTTTTAAATGTTTTCCATTTTCTTTACACAATTAATATTTCTGACGAATCTACTAAAATCACGTAATACGAAGAACAATAATGTTTGAATAACATCTTACTTTGTTCCTGGAATTAAAAAAAAAGGACTTGTATTCCTTTCTAAACTTGCAACCAACCATTTTGACCATTCCTAACTGTTTGTCATTGATTGAGATCACCTTTTGCCTTTTAGAATAAAAACATGAAATTAATTAGTTAGTAATGAATGTCCCTAGGCCTCTTGTTTGATAGTATGTTAACTTGTATATAAGTTAAGGTTGAGTGCTTTAATTTATTGATGCACCAGAAGAAAGTATTTTATAAGATTCTAGAGTAATAAAATGAGAAAATAAAAGATCCTATAATTCATCCATGTTCTTAGTAAGAAAAATATCAATTCAAGTTTTCTAGCAATAATGCATTCCTAGGAAAGCTATTCCAAAGTTTAAAAATCCTGTTAAAAAATTAATTTTTTATACTAAGAAAGCTGTCTTTATGCTTTCATAATTTATATTTATATACTTTTTATATTTAGGTCTCTAGTGTCACTTCTGTAAAGTGTTACATATGAGAAACATATTCAAACCTGTAAAAATAAATTTTGGTTACCTATATCAGTGTTGTCTAACTGGTAGGTCATATCCAGCCCTTAAGGTAATTTTATCTGGCTCCAAATGTTAATTTAGTTGTAATATTCAAGGCTCCATAAATCTGTAATTTGAGTGGGTCAGAATTAGGCCTTGTGTATTTTCATTACTTATTGTCTGGTCTTTCATTGGTCAAAGGTTTGAATACTCTCAATAAATCTTCTCTAATTCATATACATTTTAAAGAAAAGTTTAACTTCTGTCTGTCTTCATTTTTAAATTTCTCAAATCAATCATCATAAGTTTTAATATTAATATTGATAGTAATTTTATATATATATTTTCCTTCTAAAGAGAAGTCTATCAAACAAACTTTGTAAATCAAATATTTAATTCTGCTTTAATTCTGTCAGGTCAAGGTGTTGGTGTTCTGCATTTTTTGAAATGCGATTTTTAGTAATACTTGTAAATGATTTTGAAATAACAAAGATCTTTGGTTGTGCTTACATTTGGTCTTCTTACTTTTAACTCAGGTTTATGTAATAGACTTCTTTAGTAAAATGTGTGTAACCCGATTTCTATACATTTGTGTTGTGAACCATGTTATAACACAATAACCAGCATTTAACAGTAGCCTGACACCAGCATATATCTTGCTGAATCCACTATTGCTTTGTTGTAGTTTAACCAATGTACAGAAGCATGGCTTCACCAACAGGCTTCTGTTATGCTTGTCACTACATTGTAATATGCAACCATCACAAGAACTCTTTTCATCTCTCGCTTCAACTTAGAATTGGCACCAGAGGATGCTGTTGCTTTTCACTCCCTCCTAAACAAGATAGTAACTGATTGGGACCAATAACATTTATATTTGTTTTTAAGAAATGAACAAGATTTTAGCTGAAAATTTAGCAGAATTAAGTTTGTTTGTTTTTTTCATTTTTAAACTTAGAAGAATTATCCTAATTACGAATTTATGTGTTAGTATTCAAAATAACAGTTACATTTATTTGATATAAAATGGATATTTTGTTTAAAAAATTCAGCAATTTTAAAATTGTAATTGAATTTATTTACATGTTGCACATTGTGTGTGTTTTTCTAGTTATTTTCAGTTAGTTGACCACATGTTGTTTTATTGTCATTTTATACAGTGCAAACTGTTATCCTTGCTAAAGCAATATAATATGCATATCTACTGCAATAAATTATGATACCATAGATGAATAAGTGTTGTAAGCTTTATTTTGAGTTTATCTTGTTTTAGTTGATCATTGTACTGCAAAGTTTGAATTCTTTGCTTTAATAGATAACACCAGTATTATCCATTTTGTGCAGTTCTTCCTGGGTGTGAAGTCAAAACGAAACTGACATAATATTGTTTTAAAATAAGAAAAATAAAGAGTTTCTACAGTGAAATAATAATTTTCTTGCTAAATGGTTTGATTATGGATTACAAAGTCAGTTTCAAATGGTGTTTATTACGAGTTGTATCTACAGACTGAAGTGATCAGGGCAAACTTACAATAATGTATTACTATGTATTTTATCAATGTTCACTGGGAGAAGAAAGTTTTATTTTTTACTGCTAGAAATAAAATAGATTTCACAATGTTGCACCCGGGCAAGTTTCAATTTTCTCCCTAGTATGTTGGTATAATTATGTTGTCATAACAATAATTGGTTTCATTCCTATTAATGAACAATTTCCATTTATTAGTTTTAGTCGTTTCACTCCAAACAAGTTTAAAAATAATTTTCAGAGAAAATTCACTGGAACTTTGTGTTCCATATAATAATTATACATTATTGTTAATAATGTTTGTGAATGTGTTACATGTAACACAAGATGTATTGAGCATGACCTTTAAAGTATTGTTTCTCTTTCTTCAAGGTTGTTGCTACCTCAGATAACCATATTGGGTTTTAAAATAATTCCTACGTTACATAATTTGTGGTATTGTTTTAATTGCTTAAATATAGATATGAGATGTATGTTACATGTCTATTTACAAAGTTGTATTCTGTTGTTTTGGAATTTATTAATATCTGTTCAGATATAATTGTGTATTTAAACTTGATCCACAGTATGGTTCCATGTTTAATGCATATATCAATTTAAACAATTATATATATATAACTTAGTCTTGTTTTAGTTAGTTTGTTATGTTTTCTTTGAAGCTGGGAGATAAGAATGGTTTGGATATAATTGTACCTATATAGGACACGAGGTAAGATGGCTTGTAACTTTTACCCGTAAGCATTACTGTTTAAACTACTTGTGTTTGTATTTTATAATACTTGAAATCAAACTTTATCGTGTGTATAAAAAAGATGAAATTTTATATGGTTGGGATTATTAATGCAGAATAATAATGTCAAAAGTGTTAAAATAAGTGTATACCCTAGGTAGGTAGAATAGTAATTTTGATAACTTCATTCATTTAGTATTGTGGAGTTGTATTTGATTATTATAAAACCAAACAATGACCACTAGAATTCCTGAGATTAGGTAAAATAACGTTATGATCACGACTTGAATAGAGTCATTTAACATTTTATTTCCCATAATGCTGACATAGCCAGTAGTATAATATTAATGTGTTATATTAGATTTTATCTACTGTCATTTCTAACCTACCCATATGATTTTAGAATTTGATAAGCGTTTGATGTAATTCTTTTTTTACTTTTCTATCTTTTTATATAATCTTTACAATACAAAACTTGATGTTAAGTCTTTTTAAGGTATAGAAAGTTTTACTGTACTGGTTATCAAGGTTCTTTATATTCATATAACTCGAAATAACATAATAAAATAAACAGAGTACTCACAGAGATATCTATTGTTATTGGAAATAAATTCAACATAAACACATTTTTATAGGAATTGTAACTTGATCTTCATTTATATGGTACAGAGTTAAGTATCCTCATAACTATTTTAAAACATACATTTGCAATATCATATTATTAGTTCAGCTTATTAAAAAATAACTGCCTTGTGCTATACAGAACCATTTACTACCTAAGTTATATAATAACTTTAAGAGCTGAATATAATTAATTTTAATTAAATTTCCATCATTGTTAATGATTATATGTAAAAGGCTCAAATATAAATTTCTGATTTCGTTTATTAGCTACGATGAAATATCCAAATATAAAACATTTATTTTCTTGTATTTTTCACTTGTCTAACTGATATAAATTTCTACCCATAGATTTTAACTTTGATAATCAATTTTAAAATTAAAATGTACCAATAATGATGTATATTGTAATAAAATAATTTTTACTGGTAATAATTATTTAGTTTTGAAAATGTTCTTCTTTCAGTGCAGGTAAATATTTAAAAAATACATATCATTTAGTAATATAATTGCATTTCTTTTTGTGTCAAAATCATTATTAAGTAATTTTTGTGTCAAAAATCATTATTATTACCTCACATTGCAAACACATTTACTCATTAACAAATATAGCATCAATGTAGTTCGTGAATAAGCAGGAAGCCTTAATGCTTGATAATGTATCTGAGAAATTAATATAGTCTGTTTAGTAGCAAACAGATTCTGAGCAAATAGTATACAGTGAATAATGTTTCAGTTAATACTACAGTAACATCAGGCTTTTTTCTTGTTGTTTATTTTATTTGGTTATTTAAAAGTATAGGCACTAATTGAAATTAAAGGAACACTGTATGAATGATAAAATGCTTCTTGTGTTTGTTTACTGTGAAAGTTATGGAAAATTAGAAGTTCTTATTTTTACATATTTCAGACAACTCAAAATCACCTTGTGTCATTTTGTTAAATATTCACTTGTAAGACAATTTTTAACTTCATTTGTTTTTCCAGTACAAAAAAAAATCGAAATAACAGTACACGAAACTAATAACTAGTATTCGTGTGTTCTGTAGGTAAGGTATATGCAGTTTATTCTCTGTATGTTAGAAAAATGTATTTAATTAGCTCTACTCATCACTAGGAATTTTTATTCAAGTAGGTATAATAGCTTACTTTGATCAGAAGTTAATGTTAATGGATT